GTTATATAACATTAATAGAGTTATAGAACAAAAGCAATCAAAAAGCCGCACAGATTATCATTTCTTGGAACTGCCGCCCTATATATCCACGTTTTTAGTGGACTTTCGCCTCCGAACAATTTTCGAATCGGACAACACATTAATGTTTACTTGGGGTGCTTAAAACCTTATTTATCGATACGAATAGAAGTGGCAGTTATGATGTTTATTGGTGGCATCGAATTTTATTGTTCCATAAACCTAGTCATTATTGTCACCTCTATACGACACCGCTTCACAACAATAACATTAAATGCATCACTAATGATAATATGTACAACATCACGATGATAATAGTGTAGTGAATACTAGTGTGTTGTGGAGGGAGGGATTTTCGGGGAACCGTCCCCTAACCTCCATTCCCATCTTTGACTGTTTTTGAGCCGACCACATTTTCGAGGTCTCAGAATGCAAAATTTTGTCCCCGATTTTCTTCGTCCCCGCAATACACTAGTAAATACGCAATGCTAATGAAGACAATAACAAAATTAGTGGAAAGTATCATACACAAACTGAATCGCACTGAGGAACTAGTGACTAAGAAGTGANAATAACAAAATTAGTGGAAAGTATCATACACAAACTGAATCGCACTGAGGAACTAGTGACTAAGAAGTGAAATGGATCGGAATTCGCGGAAATTAGACACGGGAAATAGGACTGATAACAATGACTGCAATAATAAACAACCATAACACCGCAATTATTTTGACTCACTTGTATTCACTCAATATTATTACTTTTTAATCGTTACCAGTTAGTATTCTGTATCGTGATCATTATTATCCTAACAAATTGTTATCATTGTTGATCAGTTATCATTATTATTAATCGCTTTGATTATTATTATTACGAATTATCTGCAGATTTCAGTCGCATTTCCATACAAGTAAATATCTCGATTCAGACCGCAACAATTGATCAATTCGTGATTCACCGAATTCTCATCAGATGGTAATAATATTTTCCTGAGATAGCAAGGCGGAGTGAAGTTTACCAGGGTGATTTCATGAATTGAGAGCGCTGCACTGATCAGGCCGATAACTAGGGAACATACTGAAACTCTTATTATTATTACACATCTCAATTACATTTGGATATTTATAATACCTATTCAGTATCTTTACTTGTGTTTACTGAATNCTTCTAGTTGAGAATCGAGATGCAACAACAAGAAACGCACTCTCTTAACGTCGGTATGTGGTATTGTTTGGTGTTGCCATCGAAAGTCATTGCATTCAGATACAAATTGCAGACTGTCGGCAGAACAGCGCACACAAGAGGTATTGTACTGCTGCCGACCAAGTTCATGAACGGACCAAAATCGGGTACTGTAAGAGCACAAAACAGGATTGCGCACAGCACACACGTACGAATCGCCACTCGCTCGATACCAAACGCTAAAAGCATTGCACATCTATACCAGGGGTTTCCAAAGGGAAAGCAGCCTGAGGATTTACTCATTTTCGGGTAATTTGAGGGTGTCAGAGGGTCTCCGGAAAGAGTGGGAAATTGGTTCTGACGTTATGCGTCCAAATACTGAATGATTGTAACGGGAGGGGGGGGGGAGGGTTAATGATAGCCTGCCAGACCATCGAAGGGGCAATGGACCATCCGAACGTGGTCCTTTTGCTGAGGAACCCCGTTCCCCAGCAATTCCCCTCCCCTTTTTGGTGTCACTGCTTAGATTCCAATCAAACACAATGACATTGAACGAATAATGAAAACTGCAACGTGCAATGTGGTGCTTGAAGGATGTCTT